TATTATTTATTTATTTATTTTACAAAAAATATGGTTTTAACATTATTCAAAATATAATTTGTAAAATATCAATAGGAATGCTGGATTGCTAATTTTGATCAATTTTTTTTTCAATTACGTTAATAAATTTATTCTCATGTTCTTATATGAATTTAGGTCAACGATTACTATTAAGTATAAAAGGTTTTACTTAAAAATAGGACTTATACCGGGATTTCAAATGAAATGGAATGATAATTTGATACTTTTAGTTAGGTGTAATCACTTTTGTGACTAACGACGAATTACTAGACGTTTAGTATTATCTTTCCTCAACTAATGGCCATCATAACTCTTATATAGGTATACAAAAAGCGAGAAGACAATATTACGTATCATTAACGTTATCCAGTATAATAAAATCAGAATGTTGCAGTAAGACTATTATTGGATACCACCAACGCGTGTGATAAAATAACTACATTATTTCATGCACACAATACAATTGTTGCTTTTAAATTGTACCATAACAATTATATAAAACATAAAGAGACCAAAAAGTATAACTTAAAGGTGACTATTTTATCACTAATTATCAATTTTGAATTAATAATAATTTATTTTGTACTTTTTTATTTAAAACCTTGATTTCGTCAGATAGTCAGATCTTAGATTATTTATATTGTATAAATTTCTTCGGAAAAAAGTAGTTACATACATTAAGCATGAGTACACACTATGAATACACCTGAGGCAATAAATTACCTAAATAATTTATCATTTTTAAATATGAATTAAATCGTACCTGTTTTAAGTTATTTTAGTAACTATTAAGTATTAAAAGAATTCAAGAAAATAGGTAGAATAAAATATAAATTAAATTTGAGTTGACTACTTGAAGCATAAGGTTAGGTTAATTAATAATTAAAAGAAAGTGTTATCAAACATATAATAATTATGATTATTATACTTGGAATAATACATAAAAATTACATTTTAATTTTAAATATTATATATGGAATATCATAAAGAATAAATTAATTAATGAAGAAAAATGTTTTTTTTTTTTCAAAAGAAACTATTTTATAATTTCAACGAAAACTTTTACTGGAATAAAAGTACGTATAGTCAACAAGGAAATTAATTTCATTGAAATTATCTTTTCGACACACATTGTTTATCAACTAAGTATTTTGTTTTTATTAATATAACGTTTTGTTTTCAAAATATTTTTATTTTTTTTTGTGACATTTTTGTTCAACAAACACATGGAATTGATTTATTATGCGATTCAAAACTTTGGAAAAAAAAAAACTATCAGTGCTTTAGTTATACGTCTTTGTATATAGTACAACGACTATAATATTATATAGTGTACGATGAATCGGATGTGTCAATCGTTTTACGTAAAGGAGATTTTATTTATGTATGTCGATTTAACTTTCACGAATAGATAAAAAATAACGACTATACATGTATATTTTCTTCACATGAGAATAGTAAATGGCCTATTTTATATAAGTTCGATTTGAACCAGCTAGTAATGCAATATAGTTTCAACCATTGGCGAAACGAAGTGAAATATTGTTTTCTTTCTAAAATCTACGCAATGTTTTGACAGTTGTTTTATTAATTTATTATAGACTTGATAATTAAAACATATACATCTGTACATTTAGATACATACATTCATATACATAGTATTTCATATTTTATATTATTATATGTTGTGTTGTATAAAGATAAAATCTTAAAATATCAAATAATTATTTTCATGTTATTTATTTTATTGTTTTACTGCTTTTAAAACTTTCAGGCGTATTTTTTTTATACGTTGCGACCTTACTTCCGACATAACACTGAGTTTTGGGCAAGGTATATATATATATATTATTTATTTGAAATATTTTTACCACAAATCATTGCAAACGTCTGCCATTCGATGACTGTAGATGATCAGCGTACCGAAACGGTCGTCTGTACTATATAAATTCAACTAATAGTTATGACACAGGATTGTGCGCATATTTTTTACACATGTAATATAAGGGAATATAAAAATCAATACGTTTCACTGATATTGTATATTATATGGTAGCATAAATTAGTAATTTCTGACATCATCCGTACAATATATATATTACTGTATATTCCGTGGCGGATGTTGACTTTGGTTGTTTCGTTGATAGCAATCGATATTTGTACACATGGGCATTAGGTATATATTGTTATCACATTATTTGTGACAGCAGCACCCGTAAGCTGGGTGGATATCGTAATGGTAAACATTGAAAGATAGAACGAGGGACCAAAAAATAAAAAATAAATAATAAAAAATATTAAGAAATTATATGTTTCTGGATGACTGAGTTACCACCGACAATGTACAAACATCCACCTATTTGCTATGCTATTTTTGCAGTATTTCGTAAATCCAACGTGGAAAGTATAATTTTTGATTTTACAAGTACTTAAACTATTCAAAAGTTCTTGGTGTTTCGAAAATAAGGTTAATATACGAAATAAATTTATATGGAAGAAATTTAATTGGATGTAAAGTGTAAGGAACATCATATTATTTGTTCAAAGATTGTTCTATTAAAACAATTTTCATTTTAAATTTACGACAATTTATTATTAATTCAGAATCGACTATAAAAAAAAAAATTACACTACCGAGGTTTATCTTCATAAAAAATTAAAAATACCCCTTCGTTCTTTAAAAAATTCAAACTATTATTCTATCAGTTTTTTTATGATATTCCCCCTATATTTTGACCTATGAATTTAAATTGTTTTTTGTGTTATTTCGTAAACTAAATTATTTTTACTCACAATTATGTATAGAAATAAATAAATAAGCATGGCCTGAAGTGTTATTTTATTATTATATAGCAATTCAATTTTTTTTTATCATATACAGTCCCAATTTTCTAACTTTGGATATGCCTGAAGAAAATTTTTTAATCTGAAACCAGTCATACTTTACAAATATATTTATATTCCAGACTAAACTTATGTTTATTTATTTATTTCTATAAATATATTATGTTAATTTATTTATATATTAATTTATGAGTATTAATCGTTTAGTAAATTTTAATTTAGTTTTAATTTTTTATTATTTTATTATTAAATTATGTGTGTGGGAGAGATACTCAAAAAAAATATATACGAGTGATTCAGGTGTCTTCCAATGCATCGGTTGCTGCTTTGTTTCAACATCGTATTGAAAAATCTACTTTTCATCGCAAGTAATAATGTTTTTCATCAGTCCGGGATTTTCTTCTAACCTTTCAAATAAATCTGAGCAGACCTTATGACGCAAGAGCTTTTGGTCGGGAGTTAGGTTTTTTGGCACCAACTTTGCACAGACTTTGGTCAAGTGTGATTCCTCGTGTAAAATTTTTTTAACTGTTTCTTTATCGGCGTTTACAGCCTCGGCAATCATCCGGATGCTCGTTCGATGATCTTCACGTACAATTTGGTTGATTTTGGTCACTGTTTCCGGAGCTGAAAGTGACAGGGTGACCTGGTTGGTGGTCATCTTCAGTGCCCTCTCGGCCTTCACTGAAGCGCTAACACCACTAAAAAACACGTTCACGAGATAGAGAATTGTTCACATAGGTCTTTTGTAACAATTTATAGCACTAAGTCGGAGTTTTTTTTCAATTTAACGAGAAATTTGAGATTGATACGTTGTTCTTGTTTTTTGTCACTCATGATTTTCGGCACGAGAAAAAAATACGTTCGTTTCAAACCGCTACTGCACAAATACTATAATAGTGACGAAAACATGTTTTGGTACGTGCATAGATAAGATATTTAGATACCTAACGCATTACTCGTTTTTTTCTCCGCCCGTCTAGGGCACCCTCTAGGCGGGCAGACTCGTTATTTAATAGCCAGACCTCGTACTATGATTTGTAAAAGTATTTCAAACAATATGCCAATGTGATATTGATATACATTTTTGACACAATTTTATGAAAAAAGAATCTCACTTTTAGCGTTTAGAAATTCTGAAAATATAAATTAAAACTAAATTATATCTATACTTAAATGGATCTATATTTTTTTAGATACATTTTAATTGACCTAATAAACGCTAAATTACTTTCATTATGTATGTTTGGTTAGAATAAGTTTAACAACTATTCTTTCTTTTCCACTATTATTTTTTATTAAAAATAAAAAATTATTTACTTCATATCAATAGTTAAATGGTGTATTCTATGCTTCACGATATATAAAGTATTTCTATTAAAATAGCAAAAGTATATTTTTATACTAAGAAAACTAAGTAAGACTAGAGAAATCCGAATTTTTAATGCTACCCATAAAATTGTGATATGGATTGGTCTCAATTCTATTGCACTTTTGAGGTTCTGTCCCTAGGTTTACATTACGTAGAAGTGCTTCGGAGAATTGATGCGTTTTGGGTAAACCATGTATAAATATATAAATAGTATGCTTTAGAACACGCTTATATTATTTAATAGATTTATGTTAATTGCTTTCATATTGTATTTGAGTAGTTTACTATATTGTATCTATAAAAATATTGGATTTTTCAATTTATTTATAAACTACCTATATAATTAGAAAAAATAAATGAGGATTATAAGTGGAGGAACATAATACATTTTTTTTCATACTGGTTATAAATTATTTGCTTCGTTATAATAATGAATAAAATGCATTAGCTACGTTTTAAATTTAATGATAAACTTTAAATTAGTATTCGTAATAAAACTAAAAGTAAAACAGTGAATATAAACTTTTAAAACTTAGTATTCCTAGTTAGACTAGTAGACTAGTAGGCTTAGTTAGGAGTAAAGTTTTTTTTTTATTTTATTTTTTTTTCACATGATTATAATTAGTACTTTGTTCGTTATAATTTATTATATATTTTATTTAAAATATTTTGTCATAAATCTAGCTTACTAGGCTATTTATAAAAATAAAAAAATCCCCAACTTTACAGTAAGGACATTTTTGTATAGAGATACGTTACATCTTGACTAAAATTATGATTGCTAAAAGTATTCAATATAAATTTTTCATCACTCATCAGTAAAACGCATTTTTGGACAGTAATTTTTTATCAATAAATCAAGATGTATACATTCTTTGTAATACTGTCGACAATAAAAATGATAGCATATCATTTATCTGAGTTTACCCACAAAATTTTAAATAAAAGATAAACCAACTGATGTGAACGGTCTACGATATAAATTGCTTTTAAACAGGAAATATAAATAGTTTGTACCAAAAACATATTAAATGCTATTTATAATGGTAGTTTAATCGTATATATTCATTCAAAAATCTATATTAGTGATTATCAATATTTTGGTATAAGTAAAAAAAAAAAAAAAATATTAAAAAAAAAAAAAATATAATAATAATATAATCATTGCGTTCAGTCCATTTCTGAATGAAAAGAGTATTAATTCGTAATAGAAATAGAATATAAAACTGTTCATGATTACCTTATAATCCGTGTTTATACCTATTCGTTAGAAATATTATTTTTCTTATTATAATGCATCCATTACGTTGTTTCTCTTCACTGTATTATTTCTGACGTATTATGTAAGTTCAAAGGAGTTTTGAGTATATTCATTTTTTGGTACGTTTATATTCTTACCACACCCTTTACATCGCATCTCGTTATCTACACGTTCTCATCTATTCACTGAAATTTTCGAGGAAACAAATATATTATTACATAATGATGTTGAAAAATAATCCTTAATACACAGAAAAAGTCAACGGTTATATTTATTTATAATTTTCCACGTAAATCAAGTGTTGTTTTAAGTTGAAATAAAATGTTTGTCATATTTTAAAGATAATTTACGAATGATTTTTTTTCAATAATTCATTCAAATCACTTTAAAGTTTTTACGAAACATATAAACATTTAATTATTGTAAAGGTTCTGTAAAAAGTTCTAAAAGAATCATGGTTTCCACTTGTTTATGATTTTAATTAATTTGCGATTTTCGAAACAAAAGAAAAGAATAACAATTTTAAATGAAACTATGCAATTAATGCTGTTCACGTTAAAGAGATTTATAAATTAATAATTTTTAGGAGCAATTTAACTTTATAAAAGTCTAATCGTATACGCTTTGGATGTATATTAACTGTTCATATTTATTTTAAAATTGCCAATCGCTATGTTATTATTGATGAATTATAAATCTGAAATTACAATTTAAGGAATTATTTCAAGTATAATGACTCCATTGTCACGAAATGGTTGACAGGAAAACGATTTACGGATTTATTTTACTTTCTTTATTGTTTTTTTGTTATCTAATCTTTATTTTAGCCATATACACGTCAAATAATCGTAATCTAAGTAATGTTCATCACCGGAAAAATACACTTGCAGTAGAAAAATTAACAGTAATTATAGTTAAATATTATTTTATAATGGCTCGCATCAACTACTATTCTACCATCTCAGACAATTACTGATCACACGGCGCATTGTATATGCAATTTTGATGCATACGAGTAAACCATAATGAATAAATCAACTTCACACATACTATATTTTATATTTGATAGTAAGAAATTAAATTGTCAATGATTAGTACGATACCTTTTGTATCATATTGTTGATATAATATATTGTTATATATTATTACAATGATATTATAATAGTTATCATATTATTATAGAATCTCAAAATTTAATTATTTTCTATTTACTTCACACTTAGTTGTTTCATAATATTTAATGTTTGTAAAATTGTAAATGAAAATAGAGTGAAAATAGATTTTTTGTAATATAACGTAGAGTTATATATATATATTTTATGGTATAAAAATATTTTCCTACTGAATTAACATTTTAATGATAAAAAATTCACTATAAATTTAAAATGAGTACTTTTATTTTTTAAAATACTACTGCATGTATGTTAAATATAAAATATATAATAAAAGTAAATTTTACGGTTCATATTTATAGAAATAAATTAATATGCGCCCATTATGTAATATTAAAAATAAGTATAGAAATCAACCTTTATTATACATACGGTCGAATTGAAATTGCTTTTAAACAATTTAAAAATATTTTTCAAAACAATATGTAACGGGTGGAAAAATTTTTTAGAATACTAACTGTTAGCCGATATTTTATATGGTAATATTTTAATAATTTTCACGGAATAACAATTTTTTATCGATAATTGAAAAAAAAAGCATTTTTCAATGGTATTTAATTGTAATTGTTTTTTTTTATATTGTTTTTGTTTAAATTACACATACATATACATACCATTCGTTTGATTAATAATAAAACTACAAAAGTGTTATTGTTTATTGATTTAAATTTACGTGTATTCTGCAGAATATGGACACTGATGACGACGAAGATAATCAATCATGTTACGAGCACAAACTTCGGAATAAAAAATGAAACCGAAAAAAAAGAATAATCAATTGTAAAAATAACGCCACGATACGAAATATTATGACAATCACTTCGGTATTGACATGTTATGGTATAATTTTGCTGGTGGCCCTGTGCTTGGGCAGTCGGCAACACGGAACGCGAAAAATCAGACACGACCATAAAGGACAGATCGAGGGCACACAGCCTGACATTGATTTTGAATTCGAAACCACCAAAGGTTCTCAATTCGAATACGGAGGAGATTATGATGATCAATCCGAAGACGTAACATTGGAAATTGTTCACAGTTTATTCGACACGCGGAAAGGCATTGTACCCAACATTATTTATCAAGGTATCTTATACAATTTTAATTTTACTAATTTTCCAAAATATTATTTTATTGCAGTTAACTGAATGTAGGATGAACCAAATACTATTTGAGCAATTTTTCATTAATCAAATAACTTTTTTTTTCATCATATTTCAGTGAATCCAATTTATTTCGAACGTGAAACTTTGCTCTCACGAATGAATTAATATGATATCGACGATGAGAAAATCCTTTCGATTAAATATATGAATCACTAAATGCAAGAAGAGCACATGTCCACATTTTATAATTTTTCAGGAGAGACAAAAAAAGGTCACATGTCTAGGACATACGCCATTTTTGTATTTAACACAAAATATCATGATCATTTTATAATACACCAGTAAACTGGACATGTATCTCGTTTGCACAAAACGGTGTAATTGTTGAATATAAACAATAATCTGTAAAAATGTAATTTTATGAAAATTATGGACATGTGCCTTTCTTGCATTTAGTGATTCATATAGTTCAAATTATAAAAAATACTAGAACTTGCGTAGTTTTAAATTAAACTTAGTTAAATAAAGAACAACATAATTACAGTAATATTAGTAAAAAACAGTGATTGCTATAATATGAAAGGTTATAAAGGAATTGTTGGTATCAATACAAATCTTATTATAGACCACAAACGAATAAATACTTTAAAGAAAATAGCAGTAATTTGTTTATATTTAAAAAAAAAATCCTTTAAATGATGTTAAGTATATTTAAATTGAAATTAAATTTTCTTTAAAGTTTTAAATTCTTGTACTATAGTTGAAATATAATAAGAAAAAAAGCTATTCGATAAATGAAAAATAGATAAAAAAAGAATTTTTTCAATCGTTCTGGAACAGATTTTACAATAAATATAATTAATACTATCATGCAAATATAAATAGATAAGATGCACTTAAATTAATAGTGCATAAAATTATTATAGAAAGTGTGATATATTTCGAGAAAATAAATAATGTTTCCGACCAAACATAGTTCTGAAAATGCATTGTTTAAAATACTCGAATTAGAAAAATGCTTGGTTATTACAGTAAAAAATATAAATTTATTTAATATATTAAACAATATATAACAAATTCATATTAATGTAAATTTTTATCATATTAACACTTTATAAACCTAATAATTGATAATATAGTTATATAGTTAATTGAACGAACAATGATGTATAATGTTGTACTTTTAACGCATAAAAACTGAGAGGAATGAAACAAACTTTGAGTCTTAAAAATACATGAGAATCTTCATTTCAGAAAACACTTCTAGGAAATAAGACTGTTCAAAACATTAATGTGTAGCGTGTTTACAATTATTCTTTTTAAAAATTATATTATGAAATGTTTTTTACTGTATTAGTTTTTATCAAATACCCTAAAATAATTTTTTTCAGTTTAGTGTTCAATAAATTTTTAGTATAGATTTAATAAACTCAATCATTTACATAAAAATTTCTTGTATTCTATTAACGTAGATTTACTAAGAAAATTTAAACTATGGCATGGAATATTACACTTAATATTCATTAGCTGCACACTAATTACACAGACAATACTCATTATTTTTATTGTTTGAAGATTTAATTATTTAAAAGTTTTATATGAGTCTAGTTATTCTGAAAACTAAATTTATAGTAATTAAAAGAATTTATAAAATATTAGGAAACACATTTTAGAATTTTACAACGGTTTATTTTGAACAACCCATTAATTCATATTCTCACGTTTCAAGGTTAAAATAATTTAGGTAAGATAAATCAAATTCAAGAATTCTTACTTTGTATATAAACTTCAATATACTTCAAAGGAAATATAATTTAACAAGTTGGTAACTTGCCTTTAATATCGTTCACTATAATTAATGATGAGAGATTGATTAAATTTAATTTGTATTTTAGTTATAACTATTAAAATATTCAAATATTTTTAAGGATATTAAGAGACTAATCGTAATTTGTATTAGACAAAAATAATTAGTGAAAATTTAATTAGGTATTTTGAATGGTTTCATGGATATATAATCATGCCCTCAACATTCAAAATAATATAGTACATTTTTTTTAAATAATTATTATACGATAAAAGAGAGTGTCGTTGTTGAATGGGTTAAAGCAAACTGTGTTTAAATGAATAGTTTATGGTTTTAACTCGGTTACCAGCTTTCTTAACATGAAGACCGTTAGCTAGAGAAACGAAACTGCTGAATTCCTTTTTACTAAACGTGTATCACACAAACGGAAATACCCCATATATCAAGCAAAACATAACTACCGAAGTAATATAAAAAAAAGAATCTAATATCCAATGGTCTGAGTTGCCGTGGAAAAATAAATAGTAAAAAAGGGCAAAACTCCTATGTCAGCTAAGACTATGTTTAGATGAGATACAAAGACGGGTGAATGATATTGCTGTATTGGTCTTTCAACATTGAAATCAATCGATTGTAGTTATCGTAAAAATGATTCTAAGTAAAAGAAGTTGGGTGGATCAGTTTATAATTCTAAAGATCGTTAATATAGTAATAATATTACATTTTTTAATATCGTTGGTTGAACATTTATTATTCTAATTTTTACAAACAATAAAAGCATCTAAGTAGATAAGTAAATTGTCTTAAAATGCTGTTATATACAGCTGCATTATCAAACTATTTAGTGATTATAATATGGAAAAATCTAAAATATCATAAGCCTATAAATAGAAAAATTATCACGATAATATTTTGAAAATGTTGAAATGTTTTTAAAATACTAATAAAAGTGCTCAGTAATTGTTTCGAATCGTTATGATTAGTATTTATAGAACAATAACCAAATAACTAATATTGTGTAATCGAAATTTGTTGAATTACTCGATTTTGTGAAAATTACATTTTCTTGGGCTTATAAAACAATTTTCTCGATTTTTTAGCAAAATAATTTTCTTAGCTATAAAGAAAATCTTATAAAAATCTCGAAGTTAATTACCAAATCTAAAATATAAAAATTTAAAGTTTTATGAATCTAGGCTCCGTTTTTAATCATTTATCAGCAGGAAATTTGTATGAAACATTTTATATTACATTTTAAAGTAATTTTGTCAAACCAAATTTATTTTACTGACATTTTCGAAAAAAAAAATTGTAATTTCTAATTATCTATAATTAGACTAAAAATTTTTTTTATAAATCATATATCATCCTTAGCAAATTCTGAGATATAACCATTCATTAAAAAATATTAAGTCTCAACAGTTTTTTTTTAACTTTCCGTCAGTTTTTGGTAATTCTTAAGAAAAAAATATGTAATTTGTAATTTGATTCTTTTTAAAGTACCAAATAGACACATATTATGGTAAGACCAGTACATTCTTTGTTTCATTAGAAATTTAAAAAATGGTACAATCAAAATATTATTAATGTATTAAATTAGTATCCAAAGTGGATAAGTTATTGGAAAATTCAGTTAACTTTTGGGTTTCTGTAATATTTTTAATGAACAGATTTGACCTATCAAGGATCAATACATCGTCTTGATTTTCTCGGTTAAAAATAATTAATTCAATTCTATCTATAGAACTTATGCATTCATTCATATGGAAATACTTTAAAAACGATAATATTTATCATTTTTCATTTACTATCATTACTAAAAAGTTAAAATGAATATGTTATTTGTTGTAAATGTACTATAATACTTTATTTTACTTTTTTTTAATTAGCTCATTATTATTTTTAATAATGGGAACAATTAAAAAATCAATAAATATAAAAACAAGTTAATGAATAGTAATAATTATTATAGTAAATAATCTTCATAAATATTTTGAAAGCAATACATAATGAAAGTTGTTTTTTTGTTGTAAAATTTCGTTCCACTCTTAGAATATCGGCGAAACTTTAAAATTAACATTATCAAAAATTCATTTCATTTTATAATTAGTAGGGCTGACTATTTTTACATTCATGTAAATATTATTGTATGATTAAAGTAAAATTCGCAGACTTATTCTTGAAAATTGCTTTTATTTAGTTTTATAATTACACAATTTTTTTTTGTTTTTAGATATTTTAAAAATACTTTAATAAATATTTATTTTTCCTTAAATGTCTTGTACCATGGTAAACATAATAATGAATAATAATAAATATTGAATCGTAAATGATTTTAAGTTTGTGTGATTTAAATATATATTTTCACTTTATCTATATATATATATATATATATATATATATATATATATACAAAGCTGAGCAAGTTAAAGATATTTTTTAACTTATTTAAGTTAATTAAGTTTATGTTAAATTAAGTTAACAATTGAGTTAGTGCACATGAGAATCACACCAATTAAATTAAAAATTAAGTTAAAAAATATCGTTAACTTTAATGAATAAGTTAATTACAAAAAAAAAATATTTAGATTAAGTGCTGATATAAGTGATAAATATTTAATAACAATTTAAAATAGATCTTAATTAACATTAATAACAAAGAAAATGCATAAAAATTTTATTTTTAGAATATTTTCTATTTAACTCGAATTACAGTAGAAAAGTATACATTTCTTCATTGGGATTTTTTTAAGCACTCAAATTTCAGATTTTCGGTAATTTATGTATGATTATTCTTTTATTCATTTTTCATGCAAACCACATATGATAAATATAATTTAAAAAAGTATTATTTGTAATGTTCAATAACAATATATAAACTAAATATAATGCAATTCATAGTGTAATTATGAAATTATACAGACAATAAATGTATACAGTAGATACAAAATATTAAAATAAATATATTATATTATTAGCTTTATTAAAATAAAAACAAATTAAATAATACAATGAACAAGTTAATCTAAATAACTATTGAATCTCAATAATCGAGTTATCTAATAGTTTTTATCAGCTATTGAATTTCTTCTCTTACTTAATAATACTTAATGATATAAATCTTATTTAATCATAATCATCGATTATGAAATAATTGTAATAATATTTGTATT